CCCCAAAACCCCAAAACCCCAAAACCCCAAAACCCCTAAATAGAATATTTATATTGAAAAATAAATTATAGTTTAATAAATGCAAAGGTGAAGTCAAAGCTGAGAGAGTCCACTACTATATATCACCAGAAGAAAGAAGAAGAAGTCAGGTAAGATACAAGAAATTGGAAATTATTTGGGAATTCAAACTCCTCTAAAAGATTATTATAACAAAAATATTTATGTTCACTCTGTTAGGAGCAAATTACTACCCAATTTTAGTCTTTCATATTCTGGTGAGCAATGAGAGTAAAGATATTGGAGGGTTAATGAAGTCATAATAATAAGTCTAAAAAATGAGCTTAGTCATATTTCTACCAAAATTTCTCAAATATCCATTCTTAATCATTCATAATTCTAAGTTATGCAAATATTATTGTCTAAAGATGCATGGAGATCTCAATTTGACACATTAATTCTCTAGATTTCCAAAAGTCAGAAATACAAAACTTCAGTATTCCAATTAATAAGATCGGAATTAACACTGTCAAAATGTTAAACATGGCACGGAAGATTAGGAGCCAGAAAGGGAAGGACAACAAGGATTTACCAAAGCCAGCTTATCTAAACAACTATTTCGTAAACAAGAAGTCTCTTACTAACCCAAACTCAGTTCAAGGGACTCCTTTGAAGTATAATGTCCATATGGATAATATCAACAGTAAATCTCATCCTTTTATAAATATTTCTTCTTACGATTTCACCTTTTGGGAAATATCGGTTAACAAAAATATAAAATTTCTTAAGAAAAATAAATTTATTGAATCTTATCTTATAGTTGATCCCGGAAACTTGCATAATTTTGTCGGAGTCAAGAGACCAAAAGTTCCTAGTAGTACAAGAAGTAGACGTCCAAGCAAAAGCAAGTTTAGTACCAAAATTATTAGACTTTCAAATCCAAGGCCTGGCAGTGGTAAACTAATGGTTCTGATATCTCATAGATACTACTGATGATGACAATAGCCCTCCTGCGTATCTAAATGGACCACTCACAATGAGAGTAAGCACAGGGACGAAATGCTTATCGAAAGGAATGGGTCTGCCCTTTCCGTCAATTGCAGGCTCTATTCCTGGCACATCAAGTTCTAAAAGACCAGAAAGTAAGTAATTAATATTGAATTTTAGGTAAAATCTCTATGAATAGATTCAAAAGTCTAAATCAGCAACCATACTGTCGAAAGTTTCTCAAGACTAGGATAAATAGCAAACTTGACAAATTTGGGCTTGATAAGGATGAGATCGACAAAGATGTCATGGAAAACTTTATGAATAAAATGGTTGACACCTTCTTCCTTATGGACAAAAAGAAAAGAAAAAAGTTAAAGAAAGATATCATGAAGACATAATTTTTTTATTTCAATTAGGAAAAGTATTTATGGGGTTTTGGGGTTTTGGGGTTTTGGGGTTTTGGGG